ATGGACACTTTCACTTTACAAGTAGACAATTCATTCGCAAACAACTCCCTAGTTGTCGTTTGAATTGTTCCAAGGAAAAGAGTAACAGTATTTTAATATTCAAGCATTATTGTCGTTGAGAAAATTTCATCGCGTATGAACGTCAAACCGAGAGCAAGCCCTCTTGCTCGCCGCCCACGTGCATTGTCTACGTTGTCTGGACAACTGGCGGGCTTCTCACCAGAATACAATACTCGCGCGTATAGATGCTAGCATGAATAAATGGATTTACAATTTGACGTAGGTGTGCCTCGAACCATTTTTCCTTAATCGGCCACAATGTACTTTTACCACTTGCAAGTGTATTCTATCACGCTTCAATTTACCAATTGTTGCATATCGTTATATGGTCAATACATTGCAACTCTCCAAATGTCTATACGTGCTCTTATGATTGGCTTGCTGGAATAAATCCTTTTATAGCTTTACCGATTCTACGAAATCAAATAAACACAAGTAATGAACATTTTTTTTTATTGCACTCGAACGCCGGAAGGATTAGTAGCTACATAACAATTAATTAACTCGAATAAAGTCAATCGTATAATTGAAAATTTTTAGTCGATCTGTAATTAATTATTTCCAGGAATGTGCGTGTCAAGGGCGGCTTTCGTACTTAACTGAGCAGCTGTGAAGCGAGTTTCATAGCCAAGTCAGTTAGGAACAAGAACTCGAGAGTTCCAATCATTGAAGACACGTATAGGGGAAACTAATGTTTTATAGATTTGTCCAAAGAAGTAAAGGCACGCCGTTTTAGGCAACGAGTGTTACTTGAGATACATGGATACGAGTAAAAATTGATAAAAAAAAAAACTCTCCATACATTTTACTCAATGAATGTTTCCCTACTTGACATAATAATTACTGAAAAAGTCGATTCAGTAAATGGAAAATTAATTATTACAAGAAAAAATTCTCATAAGAGTTGGCTATCTTGATGATATTGACTCGTTGAAAATAATATTTACTGTGATAATTCTTGAATAATTACCATCATACAAAATGTATAAAGAGACGAGAAAAACGTCAAATTGAAAGAAAAAAAACGAAAAGAAAACAGGCCGATACCCCATGGACGTGGAAACTTGGCGTGTCCTTAGCTGTAACCAGATCATTGGTAAGTACGCCTAATCGAAGTGTACAGAGTGTACAGCTAGCACTGCTAACTTGCTGCTGTTTCTCGTCTGCCAAATAAAGGTACTGGTCTCGTCGTAGGCGGTCTCGGTTGTCGCACCAACGAAACCTTGTGATGCATTGACGATCAAACTGAGGGTAATACATACAAAATCAATAGATGAAATGGAAATTTCTCACTGTTATGCTTTCACGTGAGTTAAACACGAGTACGATGATACCATGATAAAAGCTACGAGAGAAAAATCGAACATAATGATGAATTTAAGTTACACTTCCAAAATTAGTTGATCATCCTCTGACGTCTACTGTACCCGTTTCGTCTTGTCTCCTTAAATGACCCAATTCTGCAGAGGTAAAACTAAAATACATTGACTGCCGTCGTAGAGTGATAAACCAATAGTAGATCCATAAAAATAACTGTGATTGGAGTATATTATAAATGTAAAGACATCTCGAATTTCTCAGGTCATGAGAGTGAGTATATCGACTCGAACGATCAATTTTCCTGCAATCATTACGTTCATTTTGGGTGAGGGTTCATGTGATATTCCACTAATTGAGTCAGACGTTTTCATCAATTATTCCATGCCGAAGAGTTTGCCAGTTCTATCAATAGAATGTGGGATACTACATTTATTTTGGGAAATCCGATGTTCTAAGTGAATATAATTTCGTTATTACCGACAATTATATCTCGGAGCAAGTTCCCAATTAAATGAGTGACTCTCAAATCTGCATTTTCTTTCTTTCTTTCTTTTTTCATTATTTTATTTATCTACTGAAAACGCACAATTCACATCAGATGAATGAATTTTCAGAGATATACGCTGGTTGCAACTATAATGATCACGTGTAATTTCAATGTTATTATCCGTGATAAAGAAGAAAGCACTTGTGGAGATTGCAAAAAACCCAAGTGTGGGCGTAAATGTAAGACCAATTATATCAGAAGAACGACAGAAGAAGATAGGTGCAGCAGCAGGTTCAGACACGTGAAGGACCCCAGCGTTTGAGTTGAACGAACGACGAGAAGCCGCCTTAACGACCAGTCACCTCTTCTCCTGTGCCCAACAGCTAACTATGGACAAGTGGTTTTCATTTTTGGTTTTATCTTCCCCTTCAGTTTTCTTTCCTCACCCCCTCTTTTTTTCTTTATAATATCTACATGGACAATGCTCAAATGAACTGTGAAGAGTTTTTAGTAGACAACAAAAAGAATGAATTGATAATAGCCATCATGCATATATACATTTTTCAGATGCCGGGATGAAAATTTTTACAGTAATGGTATCGAAAAAACAATTTTTCCGACAGTATCATTTGTTATCCAATCAATACTCTATAGCTTAATGTATACGGACCAAAGGCAACATCAGGCCCAACGGCATTCCACATACACTTGTGGCCTCTCAGTTTATATAAGAAGACAACGAGGCATGTGAGATGACGTAGTAAATCCTCGGGTGAAGAAGTAACGCATTCCATGAAAAATGCAGGCACCGAAAAGATATTTTGCCACTAGATGCTGGGTTGGGGATTAATATATTGGAAGTTGTCAAGACTCGTTCAATTAGAAAAATGGCAAGGGCCAAGTTATTATTATTATTATTATTATTATTATTATTAATATATGAAGAATAAATAAAACTCAAACTTGACAGTGAACGGTGATCATCAATGGGATTTTTCCAGGCACTCACCGACTCGCTGAGGTTCATCATTAGCATTCCTTCGAAATTCATCTGCGGAACATGCAGTCGCGTATGTCGTGTCAGTCGATCATGGGACTTGATCTATTGCTGTAGATCCTTACTGTATCACCAACGGAGACATCACCTCAGAGTCCCCAGTTGGAGCCATGAGGACTATTACAGACACTTGCACGTAGGGAACTTCTGTTGTTGACTTCCTCGCGTGCCCAGTTTGTCACGAATGACAATTTATCGTCGTCTTCGTTCTCGTCTTGAGTCTGAGAGACGGCACTCACATTGTTCCCCTTACTTGTTGCTATAAAATGTCCCATTCTCTTAACAAATTCATCCGTTTTTTTCCTTTTTCACCCCAAGTTTATTATCATAGGGAATTGATCAATGAGTTCACAAGAGTTGAGATAAATTCCATAGGGAGGAGAGTAAAATAGTTTTTAATTTGGCTCATTCATCATACACTCGACAACTGGACAGAATTTATAGAAATGTATATTGTATATGGCATATGTGTGGGTGACACTGGAACGTCTCTAGCTGTTGTTGAATGTTGACTGGTGTGCAGTTAAGTACGATGCGTGTGCATTAACAGTCAGTCCACAGCGTTGATCGGTTGGATTTCACTCTACTCGCCGTTTACCGATCATCCAACAAAAAGTCGTTCTCTCGACCACCATGTGCATGCCTCCCCCCCCCCCCCCCCCCCCCC